AGAGAGAGAGAGAGATAATTGATTTGTATTAAGCAAATCAATGCTCATGGAAGCAGCAGTTAAGAAATCAAATGAAATATTGCATTAGGAAAATCTGCCAAGGATCTCTTTAAAGTGTTAAAGAGCAAAGATGTCCGTTCCAGGGCTAAGGTGCGCCTGACCCAAGCCATGGTATTTTCAAAAACCTCATATGCATGTGAAAGTTGGACAATGAATGCAGAAGACTGTAGAAGAGTGGATGCATTTGAGTTATGGTGCTGGAGGAGAATCTTAAAAGTGCCGTGGAGAACAAATAAACTTGTGTTGGAGGAAGTACAAGCAGAATGCTCCTAAGAAACCAGGATGGTGAGACTGTGTCTCTCATACTTCGGATATATTATTAGGAATAACTGGTCCCTGGAGAAAAAGCATCATGCTTGGTAAAGTGGAAGGTCAGCGAAATAGAGGGAGATTCATAACAAGATGGATTGCCACAGTAGCAGCACCAATGGGCCCAAACAGAACTGTTCTGAGGGTGGCCCACAACTGGGCAGTATCTAATTCTGTTGTGCACAAAGTCTCTATGAGTTGGAACCAACTCGATGGCACCTAACAACAACAAAGCAATCATATCAAAGACAGAATGAACAGAACCTCACCTTGGCCATATTCCAAATTTAATATAACCTTAGAGAAGTTATCTCAACTTTTTCTGGCTCGGTTTCCTCCTATGCAAAATGAAGGCTATGGCCCCAGACTGTCTCCTGACTGCTCTGGGGACAACAGTACAGGCAACCTCAGGGATGTGACCTTTAAAGGGACAATGGAAAGTTGGGCAGACTTCTAATTACTTATTTCTCCTTAACTAGTGGGTGTGGTACCACAGGATTAACACTCAACCCTAAGATTGGTTTGACACTCCTCAGAACCCTGCAAAGAGTTGCTATGAGTGATAACCAACTAGACAGCACTTAACAACAACAACAGCAATAAGTGGTTATGGTTGTGGTTAAGTGCCGTGGAGTCAGTTTTGACTCCGAGCAACCCAGTATAGGGTTTCCAAGGCTTTAAAACTTTTGTGGAAGCAGAAAACCTCATCTTTCTCATGCAGAGCAGCTGGTGGCCTCCAATTGCTAACCTCGTGGTTTGCAGTCCAGCGCTTATCCTTTGGAGCCACCATGCTCCCTTTTTCCAGAGTGAGGACCATCATATTTAAGTGTTGGGTATCGGGCACTATGTTAGGTCTTTGTTCCCAGCCTTGTTTAAATGGCTGACCCTGTTGTACAACTCGAAGGCACCTTGAACTTCCCTGTCCTAACACCTAGGATATTTCATTTTAATTGTGTATGGAATTACCTTTCTACAGTCCTAGCTTCGTGGGGACAGTGGCTGAATGTATCTTAATTAGACTGTATACTCAGCACTCTGTACAAGCCCTGGCATACATTGTTATATTATTTATTGAATTAAATAGTTTGAAATCGATCATTCTGAGTGACACAATTTGCATTAAAACAAGAACTAGTCCAGCTGAAAATGATTTTTCTCTGGTCATGAAACCTTTCATAAGTGAAGTATGCATTCCTTGAAGCCGATACAGGACAGAGGAGAACTGCCCCATAGTATTTCCGAGGCTGTAAATCTTTCCAAAAACAGAATGCCACATCCTTCTCCCACGGAGCTGCTCGTAGGTTCAAATCGCTGACGTTTTGGTTTGCAGCTGAGCAAGTCATCAGTGCACCACCAGGGAAGCCAGTATCTCGGCATGTGTTTGATTCATCTCAGTATCCACTACAGCAGGGGCTCATCGGTGAGCATGCATCAGAATCACCTGGAATGCTTGCTAAATCTCAGTGGACTCAACTCCTATCCCAGTTTCTGACTCTAACAGCAAGCTTCCAGGTGATGCTCTGGGATTCCAGGGACTCTGCTCTGACAACTATGGCTCTACACTGCCCACCAGAGTGTCTGGCATATGTAAGACATAAAATCCTTTTCGAAATGGGTTAACTTTGTTTTGTTGTGGACAAAATAGCAGACAGCTTTTCCAAATGAACAACGGTAGAAAATGCACACAATCATGAATATAATGATCTTCGATGCCCACTACTCATACCTGTGTTTGCTTCTGCCTGAACCGGCAGGGTACCTTCATTAACCTCCACTACAGCGCCAGCGTGTTCCGATTCAGTCTCCTCAGTGCTCATTAAACCTCTCTGTTGCTTTCTGAAACAGTGAATGTATACACAAATAAGAGTTTGGGTGCAGTCTAAGAGTAATAAGTTTAAAATGCCATTTGTTAATCCACTCAAAGGTGATACCCCTTTTTAAGTTCATGTGTTTATAATCTATAAAACATAAGAGCATAAACTCTAGCATCTAAGCCAGCAGATGCATTCTATTAGTCAATGATAAGACTTCTGCCCACTACGTAGGAAAGAAAAGACCAAAATGGATGTCATAAGAGACTCTGGAACTTGCTCTTGAATGTAGAGTAGATAAAGTAAATGAAAGAAATGATGAAGCAAAAGAGCTGAACTGAAGATTTCAAAGGGCAGCTGGAGAAGACAAAGTATTATCATGAAAGGTGCAAAGACCTGGAGGCTGAAGATCAAAAGGGAAGAACAATTTTGCTGTTTCTCAAGAGGAAAGAACCGAAGAAAAACATTCAAACCTCAAGTTGTAATATTGAAGGATTCTATGGAGAAAACAATGAATGATGCAGAAAGCATCAAAAGATGATGGATGCTGTACCAAAAAGAAGTGGTCAATGATCATCCATTTCAGGAGGAACCATATAATCAAGAATCAGTGCTATTGAAGGAAGAAGTCCAAGCTACCTGAAGACACTGGTGATAAACAAGGCTCCAGCAATTGATGGAACACTAATTCAGATGTTTAGACAAAAGAGTGCAATACTGGAAGTGCTCCTTCTTCTATGCAAAACAAAAAACTGAAAGACAGCTACCTGACCAAACTACTAGAAGAGATCCATATCTGTGCCCGCTCTAAAGAAAGGTGATCCAACAGAATGTGGAAATTATTGAATAATACCGTTAGTATTATACACAAGTAGAATTCTGCTAAAGATAATTTTTAAATGGTTGCAGCAGTACATTGACAGGAAATTACCAGAAATTCAAGTTGCATTCAAACCGGGATGTGAAAGGAAGGATATCATTACTGACATCAGATGGATCTTAGCTGAAAGCAGAAAACACCAGAAAGATGTCAACTTGTGCTTTATTGAGTATGCAAACACATTTGATTGTGTGGATCATAACAGACTATGCACAACATTTCAAAGAATGGGAATTCCAGAACACTTGATTGTGCTCATAAGGAACCTGTAAATAGAACAAGAGGCAATTGTTCTAACAGAACAAGAAGATATCATGTGGTTTAATATCAGGGAAGATGGGTGTCAGGGTTGTATCCTTTCACCATATATGTATGCTGAGCAGATAATCTGAGAAACTAGACTAAGATGAAGAACTCGGCATCAGGATTGGAGGAAGACTCATTAGCAACGTGCAATATGCAGATGACACAACCTTCCTTGCTAAAAGGGAAGAGGAATTGAAGTATTTACTGATGAAGATCAAAGACTGTGAGGGTTGGAAATGAAAAGGCAGACATTTTGTAACAAGAGGAGGGGAGTGGTTGATCTTGCAGTCCAGGAGAGGAGGTCCCTGGGACCATCAAGGGAGAAGAGCGGAGTGCAGGACCCTATCCAGAGAAGCAGTGATGTCAGAGATGGAGTCAGAGATGATGACATGGAGAGATGAAGCGTCTGGGGACTCTGAACTCAGGGAGGAAGACGGGCTGTTTGCTGGTGGCCGGGAGGCAGTCTTGCAGGGTGTACCTTTGGTTGGTTGATGATGCATGGAGGGGATTGTAATCATTGAAATGAAACGAAATACAATATAGGATGAATGTAAAGCTAATGTTCTCCCATGTAAACTATCACATAATTCACAATAAAGACTTTAAAAAAGAAAAGACTACAGTCTTCAGTGTGGATTCCACTTAAATGTAAAGATAATAAAAATTCTCACAACTAGACCAATAAGGACCATCACGATAACTGGTGAAAATATTGAAGTTGTCAAGGATTTCATTTTACTAGGATCCACAATCAACACCCACGGAAGCAGCACTCAAGATATTAACTGATGTATTGCATTGGGTACCATCTGTTGCCAAAGACTTCTTTAAAGTATAAACAAGCAAAGATATTACTTTGAGGAGTAAGGTGTGCCTGACTCAAGTCACGGTATTTTCAACTGCCTCATATGCATATGAAATCTGGGCAATGAATAAGGAAGACTGAAGAAAAAGTTATGTCTTTGATTTATGGTGATGGTACCATGAGCTGCCAGAAGAACAAGCAAATCTGTCTTGGGAAAGCAGACCGAATACTACATAGAAGCAAGGATGGTGAGATTTCATCTTACATATTTTGGACATGTTATCAGGAGGGAACAGTTCCTGGAGAGGGCAACATGATTGGTAAAGAAGAGTGTGGATGAAAAAGAGGAAGACCCTCAACAAAATGGATCTACACAGTGGCAGCAACATTGTAATGGCTGTGAGGATGGCGCAGGACTGGGGAGTGTTTCATTCTGCTGGTCAGAAGCAACTCAGCAGCACCTAACAGCAACAATAAAACAACTAGGGAAGGTATAGTGTGTAAAATCCACATTGTTCTACAGATTTTTAACCTCAGTGAATTAGGTAGACCATTTCCTGACTGTCATCAAAACGATTCCGACTCACAGTGACTTTACAGGACAGAATCTAATTGCTCCTTAGGTTTTCCAAGACTGTAAATCTTTACAGGAGTAACTGCTTTATCTTTCTTTGAATTAGGTAAGATGTGGATAAACGAAGATGAAACCTTAAACTAATTCCTATTGTTGTGTTTGTGTCAGCTATTATTAAGTCAATGAACATTTCAAACCTAAAGACTTTATTCACATAAGATTTTAAAAAATAGGGGCCATGGTAGCACAGTGATTAAGTGTTCTGCTCCTAACTAAAAGGTTAGCAGTTCAAAACCACCAGCCACTCTGTGGGAGAAAGATGTGATCTAAGAAACTGTATAGGTCATTTCTACTTTGTCTTATTGGGTTGTTACGAGTCAGAATCGATTCAGCAGCACCCAACAGCAACAACCTAAGGTGACTGACAAACCAACACTTTCTGAAAGATGATGCACAACAAAGAGAAAATCCGTATCTCTGGGAAGTAATTCAAGAATGTCAATATCATGCAGATACTGCATCATAAATTTCTGTGCCAGGAAGTTGGAATCAGTGTGGGGATTCTTTCTGCTTGTAAATGTTTGATGCAAAATTCACCTTTCAGAATGCCTACAGGCTGGTGGTTCAGAATGCCTGGAGCAGAAGTTTTGCATTCTATGTGGCCAGTGAGGGTTCCTCCTGGCCAATGCCCCTCATGAGCAGCCACCATCTGCCTGTCAGTGGAGACCTGGATGTTGCTATGATGCTGAATAGGTTTCCGCAGAGCTTCCAGACCAGGCAGAGAAATCACAACAGTCCAGTTCACAGCAGATCATGGCAATGGGCAGAAGTAAGCGGCATTTCATTCCATTGTGCATGGAATAAACATGAGTCTGAGTGAACTCAACAGAAGACCACAGCTCTCATCCAGCAGCTTTGCTGTTATTTAGGAATATCCCCTTCCTCAAAGACTTCACACTAGCAAGGCAAACAAAAAAGGCCAATCCCGCAGGGACAGGGGCCACAAGGCTGAGCCAGTAGCGCTGGCAGTCCTTATCTGCTCTGTTTGCATATTCTGACATTTCTCCTGGTGCAGGATAACGCGCTGGACCACGAGGTCAGTTTGAACCACAAGGTCGGTGGTTCAAAGGCGCCCAGCCGCTCTGCGGAAACCCTATACAGGGTCACTAGGGGTCAGAAAAGACTCAACAGCACTTAACAACAACAACAGTCAAATAGAAAGTGACCAAAAATACTTGGAAGAGAAAGTCATTATGGCTTTTATTACTTTTATTCCACCTGCAATGCCCCCACCCCGACCCAGGATAGTTTAAGAAGCAACTGTGTTTAAAAACCAGCCCAACCTCAGCTGAGGTAGCACAGTGGTTACATGTCGGGCTGCGAACCTCAAGGTCAGCAGTTTGAAACTACCAGCTGTTCTGTGGGAGAAAGATAAATCTTTCTTCTCCTGTACAGATTTACAGCCTCGGAAACCCTGTGCAGGGTCATTATAAGTCGGAACCAATTCCAAGGCACTTAACCACCCACCACTACCATCTTTAACACAGAGGGGGGAGCAAATGAAAAGCTATTAGGGAATATCAGGTTCCACGTATAAAACTAAAACTGATAAAATTACGTATTTATAGAATTGGATGGATTATTGCTAAAATGGCAAGTGGTGTTGGTCAGGCGTCCTTTAATTACACTGTTTCCTGTTATTTAGAGAAAACAGAAGATGGGAGTGCTAGTCCTTACAGAAAAAGTACTTACTCATCATTTTGCTGAAGAGTAAGCTGATCCTGGTCTGCCACCTGATTCCGTTGCTCTCGTTTTTTAACTGTGAAATACAACAAGGCTTATTTAAGCATCATTCAGAAGCCTCTCCTCTTACTTCCTTGAAGGTCAATCACACACACACACACACACACACACTAAACATAACCTTTTCTGACTTGAAACAGCCAATCTGAACTTGGGTCTGAGAGAGGGCTGAACCATGCAATATTTTAGTCAAGAGATGCAAGTTTAGAACTAGAACTTGGATTACTAAATCATGATTACTGAAATCCTAAGCACAGTTGCCTCATAGGAAGGACTCAGAATAAAGTCCACTGACCGTCTTGTGTTGCTTCTCAAAGGCTTCATAAACTTGAGAGTTCATCTACCAATGTAAAGTTCATTCTCCAAAGCTATTTAAACAATTTTCTGAATCCTGACCTCATTACTAATAAGTTTAGCAAACCCTTTCATTATAAATTATATAAATGAAACGAACTATGATATGTTAAATGTAAACCTGACAATCTGCCCTGTAAACCTTCATTCAATTCACAATGAAAACTTAGTAAAAAAAAGTACAAAATATAGGCAGCCCCCGGGTTATGACTGTCTAACTTACAGATAACTACTTGCCCATTAACGTGATAGAAATTTGGAAAGGATTGAATCAAACCCTGTTGTTATTAAGTCCCAACCAATTTGTTCCGACTCACAGTGACCCTGTATAGGGTTTCCCAAGAGTGGCTGGTGGCTTTGAATTGCGGACCTTGCAGTTAGCAGTTCAATACTTATCCTACAGCACCACACCAGGACGCCAATCCCTATGGGCAGCAAATTCTTCATCACAATCACTTTCACTTGCCACATGTGCAGCTTTGAAATCATTGAAAAGGCTCAGAGTCTTTTCTTGCACTAAAGTAGGCTAAATCAGAACTGTATACACCTGTTGTGGTCTACAAATTCCACTTAAAGACCTAAAAACAGTTAGGGGACTGTCTATAAATATCGCTTCATTCTCTTCATTCAGTCCATATAAAGTACGGGTGGGGAACCTTTTTCTGCCAAAATTTATAATATTGTTTCTGAGCCATACAAAATTATCAACCGACAAATTAGCCTGCTATATTTGGCCAAACATTTAATTAGCTCACCCCTAAGGTCTGGGTGTGTAGTCCTGGTGTGGCACTGTGGGTTAATGTGCTGGACTGCAAAGTCGGTTTGAACTGTAAGGTCGGCAGTTCAAACTCACAAGACACTCCTTGGAAACCCTATATGGGGTCGCTATGAGTCTGAACCGACTCGACAGCATTTTAACAACAAAACAATCCTGGTGTGGTGCTGTGGGATCAACACTCAATTACAAACCACAAGGTTGGTGGTTCAAACTCACCAGTCGCTCTGTGGAAACCCTATACAGGGTCACTAAGACTCAGAACTGACTCAATGACACGTAACAACAACAATGTGATGGCTGGAACTGCAGTTGCCTTGGCAGGGCCACACTAAGTGATTTCGAGGGCCTTATGTGGCCCGCGGGCCAGACGTTCCCCACCCCTGCTACAAAGGTAGCCATAAAATCTGAGCGAATGAATGAGCTTTCATTGTCCTGCTGAATTTACCTGCCATAAGCTCTTGCTGTTTCAATAAAATATCTCGGATTTCTTTTAACCACGACATCTTCACATCTGTATTTGGAGCCTAAAGATTTAAAAAGAAGGGAGGTGACAATTCTTTAAGAGGATGCTTTATAATAAAACAATCATCATTAAGCTTCTCCAACATGATAAAGCATCCTGGAACCCTGTAGTCACGTTCTAACCCATTGATTCTTAAAAGTTCTCTAAAGCAAAAAAATATATATAGATTCTATGAAATAAGTAAAAACCATTTGGACATGGCCCTGAGAAAATGGATTAACAACACTGAGAACATATAAAATATACTTTCACTTTGTTTTTCCCTTTTTCAGAAGGATTCATTACAAATTGTTAATATTTTTACATTCAATTTTGGCAAACTGATGTCAGTTGGACTGTTTCTGAAAAGGTAATTAATCAGTTACAGAATACTTGTAGTGACAGATGAGAGAGTGAAAGCCGCCTAAAATAGTCTTCCATTATGTAATTGCAAACAGCCACCACTCATCTGTCGTAATTTCAAGTTTGTTCATAAAAGATACCAGAAATGGTCTGGCTAAACCAAACCATGAAAACATATTTTAATGGATGGTAGTCACAAGTACAGAATTCAACTAACTAAAGTAATAATAGTGACCACTGTCAACAGATTACAGTATATGACTTTTCACGGGTCATGATGCAAACATTTCTTGGAATGACTACATCCTCTTACAGCACCTCTGGCCAGGGCTTTAAGTATGTTTATTTTTGAAACAGAGATCAAATCTGAATGGTCATAAACTATATCTCATCATCAGGAGCCCTTTGAATGCTGCCCACATGGGACAGAAAAATGCCTGGGACGCTGTCAGCTACAGTTGATAAACCTCCCAGTGTAGTTGTGAAAACGAAAAGCCCTAGAAAATACCACAGGCATCTCTCAATGACAGTAAAAGAATGCCTACGCTACCGAAAAATAAAATGTTTAAATAGATCCCGATGAATAATACTCAAATGCTATGGGATGAGAATTCATGTCATGTGACCAAAATTCTTGTTTCAAATGTAGACTTTTGCATCTTAAAGCAGATTATGGCTCCTAGAATAAAATCAAAGGGCCTACCTGGATAATAAAAACTTCTTCCTTCCTGCTACACCACAGTTCAAACTTCCGGGTGTCTCCTTTCACATATTCAGTGATTCCAACTTCATCCATCTACAAAATGGAAGTGAACATGTTCTTGAGTATTTTATTTTGAAGATGAAATCATAGTAAATTTACCTCGTCACCTTCTAAATTAATCAGAACTGTTCACTGGCAAAATATACATTCTATACTCCACAACTATGAGATGAGTTGTTGACCAAAATATTTCAAGGTTTTTATTGAACTATGTTCTTTATAGTTCCGATGACAGCAGCAAACAGCCTCAATCTGTATGTCCAAGTGGTTCATCTGAGATTAACTTCTGTTATAAAGAAATCACACACTATGAAAAGCAATGATTGTGTCATTAGAAGTAAAAGTAATTCAACATCAGTGTGAAAAGTTATGGAGCCTTGGTGGCTGCTCCACAAGAAAAAGATGAGGAGGTCTGTTTCCATAAAGATTTAAATGGTTATTTTTAGTAATTATATGACAGGTAGGTTAATATTCCAAATTATTACTGCAATAGAAGTACAGTCTACCACTCACTAGCAGTGTGTCTTTGGATGACACCTCTCTGTGCCTTATTTTTCCCATCTTTAAAATGGGGATGATCATAAAAGTGCCTGATGTGGCGCTATAGGATAAGCACTGGACTGCTAACTGCAAGGTCAGCGGTTCAAACCCACCAGTTGCTCCTCAGAAACCCTATCCAGTGATTGAGTCGGAACCAACACGACGGCACTCAAGAACAACAGGTACCACAGTGGAAACAAAGCAGAGTACGTAGATTCTTTTCCTTCAAATAGCATATATTATTTATTACCTGTATCTAGCAAGTCACCAAGTCCAACTACTTTCTATTGAAATGTTTCTCACATCTATTCCACCCTGTCTGTTTCCATAGTAACCATTGCAGTTCGAATTCTTGATGACTTCATTGCTTCATACTGGTCCCTCCTTACTCTAATGGAATCTAGAAATACTTTCTTGGTGTGCCCATTACTGTGACAGATGAAAAATCAATGAAACGTCAATACCAACCAGAAATACTATGTTGTTGCTGTTAAGTGCCATGGAGTTGGTTCCAATTCATGGCACCCCTGTGTAGAGTTTCCAAGGAGTGGCTGGTGAGTTTGAACCACCAACCTTGCAGTTAGCAGTCCATTGCTTATTCTACAGCACCATGCCAGGAAATATTATGGCCACCCCACAAACAAAATGTGAATCAAATGGATTTCAGTTAAACATGCCTAAGTTTCAGAAAGAAAGGTAAAATACCATCTTGAGGCGCAGGCATAAAGACAGAAAGAGAGCTGAACCCTATGTGAGATCGACTGCAAAATCTATGATCTCCTTCAATGTATTTTAGAGATTTAAAACACTCCTAGAGACTTCTGGGCTTGAAGATGGACTGCTGACATCAAATGAGCAAATGGGCATTTGTTATATAAAGACTGAGGTTTAGTAAAGCTTCTGTGGGAAAGTAGAAGTAGGAGGGGCTCAAGGACTTGACCCTGGGACAGGAATTCAGTAGGGAACACCTCAGGGTGGCTACATCCATGAGGAAACTCCTAAGCAAAGCCGGAGGCTCTGGCTCCCTCTTAACATAAACACCTCAGGCCTAGCTTAGGACAAATGATCTTGTCCTTGTTATTAAAACTACCTGCCATAAAGTGGAATCGAACTGAGGGAGACCCCATGTGCATCAGAGTAGAACTGTGCACTGTACGGGTTTTCAATGGCTGAGTTTCTAGAAGTAGATTGTCAGACCTTTCTTCTGAGGTGCCTCTGGGTAGACTTGACCCTCCAACCTTTTGGTGAACAACTGAACATCTTAACAGTTTGCATCACACAGGGACTCTTTCCTCTTTATTATCACTGCTAAGAATGTTACCGATTCTCAAATATATTGGTGATGATCTCAAATACAGTAGGTGAAAACCTAACAAAATTGGTAGCAGTTGGGGACTAGCTGAAAGCCAATGCCACTGAGTCCATTTCAACTCGTAGCAACCCTGTAAAGGATGGGGTAGAACTGCTCTCGAGGGTTTCCAAGACTGTACTCTTTATGGGAACAGACAGCATCATCTTTCCCCCTCATGGAATGGCTGGTGAGTTTGACCTGCTGACCTTGCAGTCAGCAGCCCAATGCTTAACCCACTGCACCACCAGAGAACCTGTACTTGGAAAATGCTGTTGTTGTTGTTGCTAAGTGCTGTTGAGTGGGTTCTGACCTATCACGACCCTGTATAGGGTTTCCAAGGAGCAGCTGCTGAGCTTGAACTGACGATCTTGCAGTTCAAATGGCTTTGCAGTGTGGCACATTAACCCACAGCGCCACAGATTGGTTATTGTCTCTTTTTTCCAAATTTTCTATAACCAATGCTATATTGCTTTTACTATGTAAAACTGCAATGCTGAAATTAAATAAACAATCAAATTCACCAATGACAGACTGATGTGAAACCAGCTGGGAGTGTCACTGAATTACTGGTGACTCTACAATACTGCTTTCAATTTAATATCAACTCAATAGTAGCCCAGAATGGCAGTTTTGCTAATAAAAGACAGGAAAGTAATTTGAAAGTGTTTATGAGCACTCTGGGGGCGGGGGGGTAGGGGTAGGACAAGGCAGGTGTCAATAGGACTCCACTAAAGGTAGCTGGGAAACCCGAGAAGGGAGACAGCCGGGAATGAGGGAGAAGGAGGGGAGTAGGTGAACCACAAATGGCTTTCATTTATAAACTGAGTTGAGGAAAAGGATACAAAAAAAAAGAAAACCGTTTTTCTCCTTGTCTTTTGTGCACCATGAATGCACCTCCACCCAGTACCATTGGTGCAAGAGTGCTAATGGGGGATCTGGGACTCTGCAGTACACTAGGGAGCCCCCTTGCAGACTGTCCTGGGGTTCGGAGTAAGAGAGGAGAGGAGAGGATCAATCAAAGCACTGTACTCACTAACTCTCTTATTTCAAGCTGAGAAACTCTGCTCTGCCTCATTCATAAATGAGATTGCTTCTTCAGATTTCTTTTAAACAAAGGGATGTGCAGCTAAAATATAAAACACTCATTTGTTTGGAAAATTATACAGACTATGTATATATGTGTATGTGTGTATACACATGCATGCATATGTGCATATGCATATATATGGATACGTGTATGCATATATACACACATCCCAAGGGGGCTTCAAGAAGTATGCGGAAAAATTCCATTATCTTTTCATTCCATTTTCCATGAACTTTTTGAAGCCCTATCTGGTGGCACTGTAGGATAAGCACTGGACCACTTACAATAACGTCATCAGTTCAAATCTATCATCCTCTCTGT